AGGGGGAGAGGGGGCGATCCACGCTCGCATCTCCCCCCGCTGGGGTTGCTCTTGGAAACACTATTTCCCGTCACCGCACTTTAGAGTTCCTTGCAGGTACACTGTCTGGGTCAAATCCAGAAAAAGGGAGAGCCCTGTCGAAGCATCCAGAGCAGTACTTGCGGTCTATCATAGAACGCAGCGGGCTAGATGAGTACATCAGCACGTCGCTTGCAGCGCAGGACAGCTTTTCCGTCGACAGATACGCGGCGCGTCTTCTGCAGGAGCCAACTGCTCCTCTCATAGTTTCGAAAACTTCGACTGAAGGCACTGCGACAAGAGCAGCGTATTACATAGAGGGGACCGAAGTACCCATCCCTCGGCGACCCGTTTTGTTTTCACGCCGGATGGCAGAAGAATGCAAAAATGCAGTTAGCAAAGACCGCACAACGGGAGGCGTCACGCAAGCGACGCGGAGCCGTAGGCGGAGAAACAGGGCTCGAGTAAAGCTGCTCCTAGCAGGGAAGATGGAAGAGGCCACTATTCAGAACATCCAATTCGTGCGACAACAACGGGATGCACTTCACCGTCGGTTTCAGAAAGCCAAGGAGGCAAAGTCCCGTCGACGGCAAAGCCGCCTGGCAATGCACGAAGGAGCGTCAGCACTGCGGCTTGGAACCGAAGATGCGGACACCGGCTCAGAGGACCAGTGGGAGGTTGACTCCGCCGCGACTGTCACTGAAGAAGGCGAAAGGGGAGAGTTGGAGGAAGGAGCGTCTGGCCCTTCTGAACCCGATCGAGATGACGTATCCAGCGCCACAGATCCTTCCTCCAGCATCTCTGTGACATCCGAAGAAGAAGACCCTGCTGCAAATCCTTCGCCTTCTCATCCTACAGCGCCGCGAATCCCGAAAACAGCTGCAGAGTTGGATGAAGTTGAACGGGACGGATTTCTGAAGTGGAGACGGATGCTAGCGAATATGGAAGAGGAAGGCGTCGTCTTAACTCCCTACGAAAGGAACATCGAGGTGTGGAGACAGCTGTGGCGTGTCATTGAACGTTCAGATTTGGTCCTGCAAATCGTTGATGGAAGATCTCCAATGTTCTTCCGCTGCAAAGACCTCGAAAAGTATATCAAGGAAGTCTCTGCTAACAAACGTGTATGTCTTATTTGTGCGTGTATATGCAACAAGCACTCGCATAGATCGACTCTGAACTCAGCATTCAGCATCGGCTACCCAATGGTCACGACGCTGAGACAGTGGTGCTAATTCTCCCTGACAGGAGTAAAATAGTGTTTGTGAGATGCTGATTTCTCAGGTCATTTTGGTCGTCAACAAATCGGATCTTCTGCCGCC